AGGATTTGCCAATGTATATCAATGGATATTTTGTATAACCTATTCTGTATATTCTTGCCTCTGTTCTATTGTTGTTGGTATTTTGTTTGGTGCTAAATATGATCTCATTGTTTTAGAGAATAGTGTTGATGAATTTTAGATTATGGTTGGATAAGTTATTTACACGGTCACTGTTATTAGTAGGTAGAATTATGTGCCTACTTTTATTATGGTTGTTAGTATTATTATCTGTGAATTTTTCTTCTATGGATTTTGTATACTTTGGCATTGTTCAAGAAATAAGTTCCATTGTTAGATGAGGTTGAAAGTGTTTTTAATCTATTTCACTCATTCAAGCAGAAATTGGGGGCTACACATTCTAAGGGCTCTTAAATAAAAACCTATGATTACTTATTTTATTACATTGCTGTAATGGGAATAAAAGTCTATATTATTTGTGGATTTCAGTACTATATCTGTGTGTGCATATTAACATGGTTTTGTGATATGGTAATGGGTAGTTTGCTTCTGTTTTATAGGCGAGATAGATTCTATGTTCTATCCTCTTAAATCTTTCAACAAGTTCAGGTAGTGATGTGTCATGTGGGTATATTAATAAGGCAACATCAGTGTATCAGAAATATGTTGTGTCTTCTGGGAGAATATGCAGAAAGGGGCAATTTTCTAAAAATTCTAAGAAGAGACATGACAGTACTCCGTTAAACCTATTAGTAGTTCAAATTTCTGTCTACAAAAATTCCTGTTGAAATTGGTTTGTAATGAGACAACATACTTTTATAAATTTGTCCGTTGGTAGTTGATTTTTGACTTTTATAAACGTCTTAGTAAAAATCTTAGGCGTTTAATGACAAGTATATTTATATAGAGAGATTTGATATCTAAGTTAGCCATGTTTTTATTTGTCATATGTAAAGGTTTTAATCTATTGATGACATTGTCAGAATTTTTTTTATACCTGCTGAGCTGATGGTTCCAAGGAGGGAAATTAAGATTGTTTCCTAATATGTGGGGCCACTATGACTTTTGCATATTTGTGGGGACACTTTCATTTTGGATACTGTTATACATGCTACAAACTCATGCACACAAATTCTCTCTCTCTCTCTCTCTCTATCTATATACATATATACAGAGAGAGAGGGGGTGTTTAAAAAATTTGATATTATTTGAGATGAAATATCTGAGTAACTACATAGTCTAGGCAAATGAAACTAAACGGGTTTATTTTTGAATGTTGATGTATTCCTTAAAATTTGAATGAGAAATTCAAAGACGTGGATTTCATGATTGATTTCACATCTTAAGTCAGTAGTGCAGCACAGACTGCCAATCTCTTTGAAGTTGTTCAAATCTGCATTGCAGTTGGTGCATTTATAGTGAATTCTCTTACAAATGCATGTTGTACAGTCTTGTTTGAATGTGTTTGAACAGAGACTCTAACACACGCAATGTTTTCTTTTCCAGTGAATGGCATTTCTATACCTGAAAAAAAACAAAACATTACACATAGAATATAAAGTTATTTCTACACATGTTAAAATTTGAGATCATTTGATCAAGAATTGATAAAGTTATTAGATTATGAAATATTTTCAATTTTTTTAAGACACCCTGTGTGTGTGTACACACACACACACACACACACATAAGAAAAACAATATATAAGTTATATATTAGAACAATTTTAGTCCTATGAAATTCTAAAGGACAAAATGTGTCACATAAAAAATTTTGCCATTTTGATATATATTTCCTAAAATGTGTGTGTGTGTATATATATATATATATATATATATATATATATATATATATATCAATGGATTCCCATATTTAATACTTCTTGTTTTCACTCACATGTGGTCATGTGTGATGTCACAAGAGCTGCGGTGAGATTTTTGCTTCCATGTCTCGTATACACGAGTTTATCGTTGCTTTGAAATCTTTCATACAACAAAAACAGACTATCATTATTGTTCTGTCCATGTATTCTTTAATATACTGAAATGTAATTGTCATCTTTGATAATGGCTTATGTAAGCCAAAAGCTTAGATCGGATTAAAAAACATGTATCAATATGATTTGATTTCGTCTTTCAATGATAATGTTCTTAGGCTTATCAAACAATATGAAAGTAATTTACTTAAAATAAATAGACAAAACTTGCCTATATTATTTAATGAAACATGCATCAATATATATATATATATATATATATATATATATATATATATATATACTCACATATTATGCAACTTTTGAAGCTAAGTAAATGGATATATAGTTTGGTCAAAGTGTAGCAAGAGCCAACAGTTCATACACTAATTTTATATCTCATGTAAGATGCGGCAAGATGTGCAAATATATACAGCGTGTGTGTATATATATATTGTGAAATGAGCGGGGTATTCGACTGGATACGAATATTCGGGTTTACAGAGCTGTTGTACTTGCCATCCTTTTGTATGTTTCAGAGTCGTGGACTCCATACAGGTGCCATATACGCCAGCTAGATGTTTTCCATAAAAGCTGTCTGTGTGCAATCTGTGGAGATAAGCTTCAAGATAAGACATCTAACGTAGACCTGTTTAACAGGTGTAATATTGGAGGAATCGAGACTTTTATCATACAGTCTCAGTTATGGTAGACTGGTCATGTTATGAGAATGTCTGATGACAGGATAACCAAGATCCTAATGTACAGCCAGTTAGATCAGGGCTACAGGAATGTAGGACGCTCATGACTAAGATACAAAGACAAGCTGAAAAGTAACTTGTCAGCAGTCAATATACCACATAACATCTTTGAGTGCTTAGCCTTGGAGCAGGTAGAATGGAGATCAACGTATTTTAGTGGACTCAGCAATTTTCAATCTGCTTGTCTGAGGCATCTTCAAGAAGCGAGAGCAAGATCTAAAAGGTCAGCCAATCTAACAGTGATCTCATCTCACAATCCTCACACTTGCTCCATATGTGGCCTCCTTTGTAAATCACTAGTGGGTCTTAAATGCCACTTAAGATTATCGCACAAATTTTCATAACTAAATCAATAAGCTGTCAGATCCTCATATGTCGAAACTGACGGGAGAGTCCATTTTATATATATATATACATACATACATACATACACATATATATATATATATATATATATATATATATATATATAAGTTTTAGTGTATTGTCAGTGGTCCATCAAATGTTAGTAAAACTTAGGTTACCTATTTTGCCTAGTTCAAAATAAGTTCACTTTTTACCCATTTATGACAAATTCATGAGATCCTAATATTTTTTTTCTTCATAATCAGCTGACACGTTCTGTCCTGGGAATGTATTGTGCAGATATTATTTTAAATATGTTTTATAAATAATTTTCAACAAATAAAATAATCTTCAACCATAAGTTTCAGTGTTAGAGGAGTTTGAAAGTGTTTTTAATGTAATTATTATTATTATTATTATTATTATTAATATCATTGCTAAATTTCTATGTATTTTCTGCACATTTCCAACTGTTTTATTTACTTTCTTCATTTTCTTTTCATTTAAGTTACTCAGTAGGAAATTAATTAAAAAATAAATATTTTTTTATGTTAAATTTATCTGGAGGAAAATTTGTGAAAGAAAAGGTAAACCTGAATATTTAAAAAAATTTTTTTTTTTAGGAGGAGGGTATTTTAAATATGATTCAACATCAGCACACCCCCTTTTCAATTTTTGTATAAACTCTTCAGGTCTTATATTTTAATTTGGATAGTTGATAAGAGCTCCAAGAATCAACATGGATTAATATCAAAAGAATTTAGCAAATTAATTAAGCTGTATATTTTGGATTGTATACTATATTTGATAGCATAAAAGACATATGCAATATTAAGCCACACCTCATTTTTACAAGGTGTATTCAGGAAAAAGTTCTTAACTTATTGTTGAATGGTATGTCAGATCTTAATAGAACTTTATCCACTATTTACATCATTTGGACTGTTGACCTCATCTTTATTGCCATATTCACAATGTTTCAGCCATTGTACGCTTCAGCCTTCATCAGGTGATATACGTTGGAATTTTCAACCAAACCCTTTATTTAGTCCACTGGGGTTTGAGTAAATAATATTATTAAGGTCACAGAAATGACTGTCCAAGGTAAAATAGCCTACTGTAGTGAGTGTTGCAGATAAATGAACCAATGGGAGCCCTCAACTTGGTATTTTTGCATTATGTCAAGTATTAAGAATACAGTAACTAGGGTCCACAAATTGGAGGAGAGAGTTATCAATGATAATGTTCTGACATCAAATCCACAGATATCTCCCTTTAACATTCTCTGTGTTTTGTATTTTTAAATGTACTTTTTATCACATAAAATTTGGCAGAATAAAATAAATGCAGCCAACAGAAAAAAGTTTGGGAACAACTGTTCTAATATGTTAGTAAATTCAAAGCTTAATTTGTCATCTCTCACTACATATTGTGGTCGCCACAGATCAATTCCACTTAGGTCAAAGGTTGCTCATGGACATTAAATTTGATTTAGACTGCCTGGACCACATACTACATGGCTGCTTAATGAGTTTAATATTATCTGAAGGTCAACTCATGATAAACACTAAAGTGTCATAATATCACTGAAAGTTTCACATATTAAAGGATTGATGAAGTCTTACTAGTTATTTTGTGTTTGTAACATGGATTTAATTTTTTTTCTAGAGAAAAGAATATTAAATTCATTCACTGCTTAAAAAAAAAAGAAATTGAAATGTTTTTCACTGTTTGTCTTCCATTGTTGGTGTGTTTGTGATTCTAATTCTAAGCACTTGGATAAGCACCATGTGTTTCTGCCATACTTTCTTTCATGACATTGATGATGGTGATGGTAGATTGCTGGTAATCTAATCTTGGATGGGTAGGGAAGGCGTTGAGGTGAGTGTAAAAGTCCAAGTGCCCTGTGTTGTTAGGTGTTAAGTTTGCTTGAATATTTTTCTTAGCTGAATGATCAAAGATTACTGCCACGGCAAATCGGTATGTGTAGAAGTTGAGTTTCTCAAGTGCAAATTCCAAGCCGTAAGAACACAGGAAGGAGGAAGATAAGGTTGTGATGGGAGAGGATAGGGAAAGGAACGAGAAAAGGAGAAAGTCCAGAGAAAGTGGGAGGAGGGAAAAAAAAAAAAGAAAGTGTAAGTAGAAAGAGGAAAAGAGAAAATAAAGAAAAGGAAGTGAGAAAAAGAAAGGAATTCTGAGTAGGAAAAAAAACTGAGGAAGATGGATTTGGGCAAAAGAGCAAGGAAAGTAATGGAGGGAAAACAGAAAAAAAAAAGAAGGGAAAGGATAGTGTAGAAGAGAGTAAAGGTGTAGTTGGATGAAGAAAAAAAAAAGGTAGTAAAAAACCAAAGGAGGAAGAAGAGCTGGAAACAATTGTGAATAAAAGAGGAAGAGAAAGAAGGAAGTGGTAAAGAAGAAGGCAAATGATGAGGGAAAGCTGAAGAAAGAGAGAATGAAAGAGATGAGGAAAGAAAAGGAAAATCACTTGAAAATGCAAGTGGAAACTAATGAAGGAGAAGAGAAAATGAAAAAAAACAGAATCATAAAAGAAGAGACAGAAAGAGGAAGAGAAAAGGAATTATGAAAAATAAAGCATGAAAAATTATGGAGAAAAAAAAGCAAAGCTGTCTGCTCAGTAGAAAGTGAGGCATCTGATGGAGAAAAAGAAAGAGTAATAAAAAGAGAAAAATAAAAAAGAAGAGGAAGAAAAGAAAAATAAGCAAGAATAGCAAGAGAAGGAAAAAGAAAATAAAGACAAATGGAAATAGGCTAAAAGAAGATGAAATATTTGGCAGAATAAGAAAGAAAGGAATTAAAATTAGAGAGATTTTTGTTTTGATACTTATTTTTCTGATGTTCAAATTTTAGTCATTGCACTTTTGTAATCACAAGGATTTGTAAAGCATAAAGAAAATCCTGGCATAGATGAATCCTTTTCTTACTTTCCCTTGTACTTTCATATTTCTATAATACAGCTTGAAAAACAGATTCTAAATCCCTTAATGGTTATCCTGAATTATTTCTGCCCAATGCGTTGATCTCATGTAATCTCTCAGCTCCAAAACCATCCTAAAATCCTTGTGAAATGTTCATTTATTATGGCATCTGACTAAAACTTTACACAGCTTATCCTCCTTCTTGGCGATTTGAGGTCTCATTTATTTGTAAAATAGTTTGGTGACATAAACTGGACTGACCAGCCAAAGAAACAAATTTGCTGAAAAATTGGTTTCAATGTATAAAACTAGGTTAAGATCTGATCAAAATTAGCTGACAAAGGCTATTGGAATTTTCTCCAAAGCAATGACAAGTCATGAGTGAATATGAGAAAGAGTAATTGGTAAAGTCGGAAAAGAAGTGTCAGCTTTCAACTGAAATCTATGAAGAAATAATGTCCTCTTTATTTGGAAACACACACACACACACACACACACAGGGTGAGAGGGATAAATTGTCGTCTAAACTATACAAAAATTGAAAATAATACTGCCATCACATTTTAACAGATATATTTACCAAAATTACACAAAAATATCTTGAAATACTAAAGAGTAAATTTGTTCAATAAAATTGCCATTGGCTTCAGCCACAGCCTCCAGACAACTTTGGAATCTCTTGCAACTCTTTGGGACAGTAACCTTGTTTACGTTCATGAATGCTGCCATAATCCTTGCCTTCATTTCATCTTTGGTCTTAAAAGGGGGTTTTGTTGGTCTCTCACTCAGCTGTGCCCCACACATAATAATCAAGGGGGTTGCAGTCCAGATATTTGGCCAGATGTAAGGGATGATGTGGTTGGAGAAATTGTCTGACAGCCGTCACTGGGTTCACCTGCTTCACACACACACACACACGCACACACACATACACACAAAATTCAAACTAACACCAATAAATACCACATAAATTATTTTTTAAATTAATATAAAAATATTAAAAATGAGAAAATCGGCAATCAATCAAAATCGGCAATCTGAAACCTCTTGATAAGTGGACCAAACGATTACAAAATTGTTTGCCTATGAACCTCTGGAGTTGGGCAGGTGACTGAATATATCATCAATCAGCTAAGAAACAAATTTTATACTTGTATTAATCCAACACACACACACACACACACACACACATATATATGGATGTCAGTGCCTATATATATATATATATATATATATATATATATATATATATATATATATATATAATTCAACATGCATCAAAGCAAACAGAATTTGAAATTCTGTGACCTTCAATAAGTATTATGAAATTATATATATATATATATATATATATATATATTACAAGGGTTTGGTAAAAAGTTGTTGTCCTGACTAAGAAGCTCTTTCCTCACAAAGTCTGATGCTTGCTTATTTGGTCAGATATTGTGTACCATCCTTTCATATATATTTATACCTAGGACAGAATTCACAGCGCAAATATCAGTATGTTGAAATATTTATTTTGGGAATTGCTTCTTGCTGCTTGAGTTGTCAGTAAATTGTTTCACCTCTTATATATAAATACTCACACACACAGAAATAGATTACAGAAAATTATTGACCTGACCAAGAAGCTCTCCATTCACAGATTCTCATGTTTGGTCATTTGATCACATTCTGGGGTATCATTTCATATATGTTTATATGTTTATATATATATATATATATATATATATATATATATATATATATATATAATAAGACAAAGTGCAAAAAGCAATGATCCATGTGTTTCGCCAGAATGTGTGCTCCCTCTGACTTCTTCAGGTTCAAATGAAAGGAAGACAAAACTGTATGCAAGAAAAAATATGTTGAGATCTCTGAAGATCAGTGGGGACCATAAATCAAATTATTTGATCACATCCAAGGACCAAACCTTACAGAGTGTCTGTCTGTCTGTCTGATTGTTTGTTAGTGTATGTGTTTATATATGTGTACAAAATGAAAAAAAAAGAAAGGCTTTAAAGTGTGTGTGGGTGGGTGTGTGTGTACACAGCTATATATAAGTGAGCATGTATATATGTACATGTGTATACAAGTATACATAAAAAAAACTCTAATACCCACCCACCCAATATGTATGTATAAGTATATACATAAAAAACACTAGTTTTGGTGGACTGATTTAAAATCCAACAGACACCAAATGGGTCTTGTGTGTGTGTGTGTGTGTGTGTGTATATATATATATATATATATATATATATATATATATGATTGAGAGAGATATTAAATTAAACCCTCCCTAACCTCTACCATTTCTCTCTAACTCCTCTTATAACACTCTCTGTTAAATTACAAAAACTTACACTACCCATCAATTTTAATTTCATTTTTCGAAGTGCTATCTGATGATCCGAGTCCTTTAAAAGGGCTCTGGTGAAATAAATTATTATAATGGAACCTTAAAGTGCTCTGTTTTTCTTAAAAAAAATATATATATATATATATATATATATATATATATATATATATATATATATAAAACAAACAGGGAACAGACACTCTCTGGGATGTAGAGATCAGATATGAATTTGATTTATGATCCTCACTGTTCTTCAGAATCCCAATGCATTGTCCTTACATACAGTTTAGCCTTTTTTTTTCATTTTATCTTGAAGAAGAAGGGAGCAGATACTCTAAGTAAAATGCATCCTTTATAGCATTTTTGCATTCATTAATTTCAGCTTTTCATATAATAACTGTGTTTATTTCAAGGTAAACTGATATCTGACTATTTGAAGAAGACTTCAAAAATAACTAGTAGCGAATTCTCTTGAAAATTGAGAAATTTTATCAAGTACCTGCAGAAAAAGTTGACACAGTTTCTACAATAGGGGATGACATTCCAGCTTTATGAACAGTGCAAAAGTGGGCAGCTAAATTTAGGAGAGGAAGGGAAAGTCTTGAAGATGACCTAAGGTCTGGACATCCTGCAGCTGCCACAAATAAGTTATACATTGAATGTATTCAATACATTGAGATGGATGACAATTGATTGACTATAAATCAAATAGTCAATCAAGAGTTGAGAATTTTTTGCACTATGAACTTAGCATGATGATGGTTTCAGCTTGATGACACCTTGTCAAAAGCACATCAGGTTGATCTGACATTGTTTGAGGTGGATCCATCTATTTTCCTTCAGCATTTCCTAACCCCAGATAAATGTTGGGGTTTATCACTTTGAAACAAGGAGGTAATCCATGCAGTGGAAACACCCATTCACATCTGCTCCAAAAAGACCATCTCATCTGCAGGGAAGGCCTCAGCTTTCAGGATACAAAAGACATAATGTTTATTGACTATGTTCAGAAGGGTTACATCATCAATGGAGAATACTATACCAACTTTCTGAAGTAGTTATGAATACATGTTTCTGAGCACACCCATCTGAGAGTTCAGCTACCCAATCATTATTGCAGACATCTGCTCAGGCATATTTGTTTTTGTTCAACACCTGCAGCACCCACCTGAGTTACCTTTTGGAGAGAATACACCATCTGAAGTGAAGAAAAGCTTAAACAAGGCCAGTACACTTAAACTGTCAATCATAATGATGTGGATTCATGCAAGCACAACCATCAGCAGCAGTCAAACAGTTCTCTCTACCCAATTTTCCTCACAAGGTTTGCTTCAATTTGTGTTCTAGTATTTCAGGCACCTTCTATTGGTACCACACACTATTATCAATTACCTAAGCTGATAACATTAAAAAATCAACTTCATTACAAACTGACCATGGCAAACATTCTATTCATTCAACCAAACACTTTCAAGTAATATATATATATATATATATATATATATATATGGTGGAGTAGTGGATAGCAGCTCAGATTGAGGAATTGGAGAGCCGAGTTTGAATTACTTTCACTTATGTGCTAATACCTTTGGGAAAGGTATTAATCCTCTTCACGCTCCAGCTATGAGTAAATAGCAGAACAGACTGGGTTCTATAGCCTTGGATAGCAACTGGTCTAGAAGGACAACTCTGGATCCAAAACCTATGGAGGGTTGTTTGGGGACCTTGTGGCACATAGTGCACCAGGTCTCTGTATTTGGCACTTCAAAAAGTGTGGTTGGTTCTGCACAAAGTCTTCACTGCTTTAATAAAATCATATGTGCTGTTGTCTGGCTGTCAGTTCCAAAGAACTGGGCAGCTTGACCCTCATACGCTGAATACAACAGGAGAGTCCACCACTGCCACCATATAGACTCACACACACATACTAATAAAATTTTAATGATGCCACTTACACCTGGGTACAGTATGTGCATGTTGATAGTAAATATTATGAAAACATTTTCAAAATCTTCAACCATCTTGAAATGACATAACATTCAACCTGTGTGGGAGCTTGTGAAGCATACGGTGATAAGGGTCAGTGAAATGACAGTCCGTTGCAAGCAGGTATCATGCTACAAAGATGCTCTCTTTTTATTCATTTGGTGCTGCTTGAGAAAATTCGAGCTGTAAACCATTTCTGCTTGCCTATACCCATACCCAGTTATGTAGTAATTATGAGGATCAGTTTATTAGATAATAACAATTTGAAACCAATCTGACAGAATAACGAATCTCTTCTTGGGCAGGGCAAGAATATTTCAGCAACCCTCAATATGTATTAATTATGGGGATCAGTTTATTACTTACTAAAAATATAAAACTAATCCCCCATTTTACATTCAGTACAATTTTATGTTAATATGACAAGGGAGTGTAGAAAAATTCTGAGTTTAACACTCTTCCAAAAATTTGACCAAAACAGAATTGGTTTTGGAATCCCTTCTTAGGCCAAGAAAATGTCCACATTTCATTTATATATATATATATGTATATATATATATATATATATAACATTTAAATTACTATCAAACATTAAAATTTGATTTTATCTAAATTGTTGAAGCTATACCACCCCTTTTCTTCCTCCGAAAAACCCTAAGTACATCTCTTTTCT